TGATATCCTGACGATATTTAAGGGGAACCACTACCTGGTGAACCTCATTCCAAACTTCATCACTTGCGATTTCTGGTGGACGCCACTTACGCATAAGTATGTCGTCATTCTTATAATAACAGACAGAAACGGTAGGCACCTCACTGACAGACAAAGCTTTCTGACCCAGCAACACTATCATGATCTTTATCCTGTTCCTCTAACAATCCAGGTTTACTGAGAACTGTCGGACCAAAATAATGCTTGACATGAGAAATACGTGACTTGGGGCCCGAACAGACAGCCTCTAGTGAATCGCTTCCATCCACCATCTCACTAAAGAAACTATCACTCAAATCAATACTCTCACTCTCATATACAGTTTTATTTGTCATAGATCGCGTCACTGCACACGATGGAAAGATTGGAGAAAGAATTCTTTTTCCAATCGCGCAGTATTTTCATCCTCTACTGGGCTTTTAGATAGGATTTGCTCCAACGCTACTCTATCTCCTGCCAGATCATTTCCCAAGAGGAGTGTGACACCCCAAACTGGAAGTATTGGTACAATACCCACAACAAAATCTCCACAAACAATATCCATTTAAACATGAACAACATGCAGCGGGACCTATTTATAACCCCCTTCAACACCTTGAATGAGCACACTTGCTCCAGCTGAAGATCTATCAGAAAATGGCAAAGCATTTGACAATATCAGGGATTGTGATGCCCCAGTGTCTCTAAACACTCTCACTTTACTCATGTTCGCTTCGTTGATCAATGACACAGAGCCAGTAGAGAGGAAAGGCTTAATATAGCTTTCGCACTTTTTCCGGATCTGAGGATTTGATCAACCTCTCAGCAGAATCAACACTACAACTCGTCTCTTTCAATGGTACATTTTGAACCAAGGTATTTGGATATGGTTTTACTGCTTGTTTCTTTCCACGAAGCAACCAACAATCTGCTTTAACATGTCCTTTCCTCTTACAATAAAAGCATGGACCAACAATTTGAGACATTTTACTACTATTAGACTGAGCCTTTGGATTTGCAGAATTTTGGCCTTGAACCAGAACTTTCATTCCCAAACCTTGAACTAGAAACAACAGTTTGAAATAACACTGTCCAGTATTTACTAGGCCACTTTAATCTGTTTGCTATTTTTTTCAATGCCAGGAAATAGGTTTCTACCTCATCCTCATTGAATTTAGGGACCCACTTTATGTTTTGAGTGATTATTTCCGAGTCACTGGCCTTACTAGCACTTGAGTTACTGTTATTACCAGACTGATTTGTCAATTCTAATTTTTTCAACTCCATGTATGTAGTTACTCCATTTTTGGAGCGTCTGCGCCCGTCGCCAAAAACTTCGACTTCGGAGGTTTTGCGTACTATCAACCCTCCCATTTCGGAAGTTGTGCGTACTATACGCAAATCCTCCGAAATCCAAGTTTTCAAACTTTTAATCAAACCTCTGATTTCGGAGATTTTGCGTACTATACGCGAAAACTCCAAAATCGGAGTTTTCAAACTTTTATTCAAACCTCCGATTTTGGAGTTTGTGCGTACTATACGCAAGACCTCTAACATCGTCGTTTTCAAACTTTTATTCAAACCTCCGATTTTGGAGGTTCTGCCTACTATACCGTATCGGAGTTTTCAAACTTTCAATCAAAGCTCCAATTTCGGAGTTCCAGCGTATAGTACGCAAAACCTCCAAAATCGTTTTTTTTCAAACTTTTTTTCCAAACCTCCGATTTCGGAGGATCTGCGTACTATAACGCGAAAACTCCAAAATCGGAGTTTTCAAACTTTCAATCTCCCGATTTTGGAGTTTGTGCGTACTATACGCAAAACCTCCAACATCGGAGTTTTCAAACTTTTATTGAAACCTCCAATTTTGGAGGTTCTGCGTACTACAACTCTCAAATACACTTACTACATTTCATAATTTGACAAACACAATAAATGTTGTAACAGGCCAATCCAAAAGGGGAATAGGCCTACGTGATGAAGTTTAATTTTGTTTATGTTGTTAGAGAAACAGCACTTAGAATTAGGGGAGGGAGATTGTTCTTCATTGTAGGGCATTGTAGAGTATCTAATATTATGTTGAAAATAATTAGTGTTATGGATGTGAATTTTTGAGTAGAGTAATTAGCCATTGATGTCTTTTGGAGTGTCAATAAATCGAATTGAAATGGAATCATTTTCAGTCAAACTTTCATGAAATGTCACAGGTCAAAGGTGGTCTGTTCCATACTAAGGTTTTTTCCTGGTGAATATATTTTCTGCAACCTTCTCAAACTGACTGACATTATTCTTGTCCAGCAAAGTAAATTTATTTTCTCTGCTAGCTATGTAATTTTCTTCTAAAAAATGTATGCAATATGTTTTTTTCCTAATTATCTACTCATAATTAAACCACTCGATCTAAAACTCATATTCACATCCATAAAACTTCATTACGTAGGCCTATTCCCCTATTTTTGGATTGGCCTGTTACAACAATTATTGTGTTTGTCGATTATACTTGTGCCGTGATAATTGTGCTGCTAAGTAACAAATCTATCTTACCTATCGTAAAATAAGTGTATCATCATGATAGCCTACATGCAATCACACAAACAGTCTTTGAACTTCATTGTGAATGCTTTTCATTATCAAGTAAGATAAAACTTGTTAGCAAAATATCATAATATTCCGATGATAAGGCCTATGTGTATACTTAAATCAACAGTGGTGGTGACATTATGATAGCTTATATCCACAAAGTGCTCCAGTCTTAATGATTTTATAATCATGAACCTCTGATATAGGCCTAATTTTTGATAGGTCTTAAAAGCCAGCATGTCGTTCTATTACCTACTACAAGCATTTGGACGTGATTATCGCTTTTATCTTATTGTCTTTAATAGTGTTGCAAAAGTCTATAATATTAGTTTGACGGAGCTAACAATGCACTATCGCCGTGTCTAATTGTCGCTTCAACTTGTTGGGTAATCCGATTGTCTTTGTTGTCAAAATACATTACAAACTTTTAAGGTGGTCGCTTTTGAAGGTAAATCATAAGAAAAATCCAAAAGTCAAAAAGTGGTCGCGGTTTTTTTTTACGGGTGGTGATGGCAAGAGGTATCAAATACAGTGATTAGATGGGGAGAACAAACTTGAACATATGAGAGGGAGGGTAAACTGCTCAGGGAGGGTAAACTGTAATTTATACTCATCCCTGATTATACCAACTACTGTAATAAAATACAGTGTTTTCATTTGCTACCTCGATAAAGGTAACCAATGAGTTGCAGTGATTGTAACAATGTTTTTTTATTTCAACTTTAATTATTGCTATTATATGTACAAGGCATTTGAGATTTCTACATGACATGTGTGCACACTGGGTCTCGGAGGCAAAGGTCACTCAATTACCTATTAAATCATAAATAAAAGGAGGGTAGCCTCTTTTCAAATATTATATATTTTTTTCGCATTACCAATCATTTTCAGGATTTTAAAACAAACTTTTGATTAAATTGAGAGGAATTAGGACCCCTTCGACCCCATTTGGCTGCGCCCCTGAATCACATGCAGATACAGAACTTAATTAATTATTTAGTACTTTCTTGACGTTGGCATTTTGGCTTGATTGTCTCTTCATCTTCAAGTTAAATTTGGTTAAACTCAAAAAGGCACTTTTATCCAATGAAATACGTATCTACATCTTGTAATTGACAGGATAGTATCATACAATGATGCGTTGTCTAATGATAATATTATTACCGTACTCGCGGAATGGCAGTTGATTGATTTCACGGCAGGATCATGGTGGAGGTTGAAAAAAACACAATGATCCTGCCATCCTGCTGATCTCAATCGGCTGATGACCAACAAGCTAACCACTACCCACCACTATTTGCATCTGCTATTTTGCTGTTATGTAAATATTCACGCATTCTCGTTATGAGCAATGTTCTCTGGACGATTATCTTTTCTAACCACCATTCATAATGTCCTTATATAATCCTTTTTTTCATTCAAAAAGTGCCTCTTGAATTTTTAATTATTAAAATAATTTCCCATAAGAACCCCTCGATTTTCATCGATTTCCATAAGCACCCCCTCAATTTCCACTCTGTTTCCATAAACGCCCCGTTTAAATAAGCGCCCAGTTTGAATAAGCACCCCTCAGAAAGTGCAAAAAATATTTTAAGCGCCCGGGCGCTTACTCGCGCGAATACGGTATGTGCGCATACAACACTCGACATGGAATTTCTTGTTGGCACTACCAAAATCCTAGATTGCGGTGTGTGAGGTGGGGGTCTGAGTATAAAAAAACTGATTATTATTATTATTTAATAATTTTTTGCAATGTCGTTCAGTTATATTAGGGATAATTTTTACTTCTTATGCATACAATGCAATAGGGACTCTTGCAATCACATTTTGCGTGTGTGTATGTGTGTGTGTGTGTGTGTGTGACATTTAGAATAAAATTGTGCATGCGTCAGAAAAAGTTTTCTGACATTTTGTTAGCTAGGCTGCTGCATGCTACTGGAGGCGTGTATAATAGCACCTCCTGCCTGGGGCGGCGGGGAGATAGCGTAGCATTTGTTTAGGTCTATACCTGATTGAAGCAATTTTACACACATTGTGCTAATATAGGTCTCCATTTAATTTAAGCCTGTCATAAATGGTCATCTTGTCTATGTAGTACTGAATAAAAGCCTAAATTTATTTTCATTATATTTTTGTTCTAATTGGAGGGAAACCTCAAGATGAGCTTACGCAGTATATTAATTTCAACAACTATAGAACTTTGGTTCAATTATCAGGGATTTCAGTTCAAGAAATTTACCTGTTTCTTTGTTAAGGAAATTTGAGAAAACATGTACTTATTTGTTTACACAATTCTAAATTGGATTCTAATTTTCTATACAATTGCTAAACATTCAGAGTTTTCCATAAATTAACTATAGACCTATAAATATCACATATTATTTGTTTTACAGTCAGCAGTAATGAAGCAGAGTTGGAGAAAGTTGGACAAAGGAATACTGGAGGAACGTTTATTGAAGTTTCTTTGGAAGGATATTGTTGAAGATTTGGACAAGAACTTTGACTTCTTAGTGAAATTCATGGAAAGATTTGGACTTCTTTGTGAAAGGCAGTCACCTAAGGCAAGTTAAATATTTTTTTTTAATATGTATACTCTAACAAATAGGAGTAGCTACACTATAAAATTGTGTTCAGTATGTTGTGATTTGAATTTTTTTTTTTTTATTAACTTTACTATTAATCTAAATAATCTGCTTATTGCAATACATTGTCATTGTTATTATCAAAATAACTTTTTTGATTTTATAATTTTGAAAACACAGAACTTACGGAAATAGTCATAGTCATATAATTTTTTATTGTCCATTCATATAAAAAACAGAAACATTATTTGAATCAGCATGGTCTACAATTACAAACTACCAAGACAAGATAAACATCCATAAAAAATAGACAATTTGACCAATGTTATGTTATTCTATGAAAATAAAAACACAAAACCTCATTATGTTATGCATAGAATTAAATTGTTTATGTTATGCATAGAATTAAATTGTTACTGGTTAATAATTATGAATAAATCATTTACAGTAGGGAATTCTTATTACAAACATAAATACAAGGTTGTGAAAGTTGAAGTGTGTTCTTGACAACAATTGCACTACATTTCAAGCAAGTGTAAACTCAGTTTTTGTTTTTATTTTATTTCATAGGATTGTGGAACTACTCAACGTGTTTTCTACACTCCATTGCGCCTGAAACCAATAGCAGGTCAACAAAGACTCACAGAAGACTTTGGAACTCGTGCTATTAGCATTTTCCATGATTTCTGTGGCTACCTCCCAGAAGAACTCTTTCCACAGACAGTCACCAGGTTTATTGAGAAGTTCCAAGCAGTAGCAGGAGGTGAGCCTGAGTTGGCACATGAGTATGCAGAGCTCTACCTTGATGACAACCATTATGTGATTTTTTCTGTTGTCACTGTCAAACAACGACGGATGTTTAAGGTATTATTTCTTCAGTTTATAGATATAATTATAATATTAACCTATACAAACCAAAGAAATATGTTTTTATGTTAGTAAATTCTTGATTCAAACAGCTATAGCTTACCTAGAGTGCAGAGGTTTTCTGGCAACTTTCCCCAATAATCATGTGGGGGCCCTGTTGGTGTTGTATAATGAGACACAGCACTGTCAGATGGGGCTGGGGTGTTCCTCTCAGTAACACGTTGTAAACAGCTTAAAGGCTGTGTTCCGTCCACGATC